GAAAACATCAATTACGATTTCATTGGAAACTTCACAAAATATTTCAAAAATTAAAGTTACACTTAATTATGTGCCATGAAATATATTTATAGATAAATCATATGGAGAAAATGCTGTCTCCAGTGAAAGAAACAAAAGTCAAGATTTGTGTCATCACTTTACGGTGTATTAATCATTATCCAAATACTGGTAACCCTTCTATGTCCTTTTTTGCCACACTATATATGCAAAAAATAGGTGGATTAATACCTTACTTTCACATTCTGTTGAATACAAGAGTAATTCTCACTTTGAGGGAATATCAGAAAGTCATTTTATATGTGAGTCTCCATAACCTAGAGATCAGATTCATCCTGTGTTTCAGGCACCACCACAAAAAAGCTGATCGATTTTTCTGTTGTGAAGACAAGCCTCTTAAAAGCTGTCACTTGGAGAGACACCTGCTCAGCTAAACTCTCTAAAGCAATTGGTACAGCCCATAGCCCCAGAAAGCAGAGGAAAAGGGTGATTGTTGGGGGTTTTTGCATGTTAAATACCCAGTCAGGTCATTGCATCTAGTTCAGTTTCTAACTGTCTCTGGATATGGGACTTCTGTATCCATCTCTGCAATTCAATCTGTAACACACTAATTCAGTTTAGGCAAAATCTTTTAACGATCTTGCAAACATTTAGCTTCACATATACATATCCATATGCATGGTTTATTTTTAATGCAGTGCCAGGGAATACTCCATATCTGCACCTATCTAATGGAATGCTGACTCTTGATTGACTTCTTCAGTACATTTTAATAGACATAATACGAAGCATTTCCTAGCCCAATTTTTCTTCATAAAGATACTATCAGAATTTCATTGAGAGAATGGTGATGTTTAGCATCTGGTATTAGTAGCTGATACTAACTTAGTGTGTTTTCTGAAAGCTTACAATAAAATAGAAAGATTTTATAGAAATTTCTTTCCAGAAATTTCCAGAAATTTCTGGAAAGAACGTTCCAAAATATCGAGGGATAGGTGTGCAACACAGAAATGCTGTAACCTTTCCTGTTAATCTCATGAAATAAAAATGTTTCACCCAGCTGGGAATTGACTTGGTCCCACAGAAAATGAAGTCTTGTCATTAAATTCATGAAGTGCCAAACCAGACACTAAGTACTGAAAACATATGCCTGTGTTCTCCTCATATGACCCAATTTTTTAATTCCCATTTCCATACTTGTACACCAAACAAAGGCTTCTAACCTTTTTTGCTGAAGGAGCAAGGTGAAACAGTTATATTCAAGCAAAATAAAGCCAAAAGAAGGCAGGCACGATGTCCACGTGATCCAACCTCTTGCCCTGAAAAAATATGTAATCTTTTAAAAATGCAGGAAAATAATTCTTCCTCACATTTAACATTTCATGTACATCTTTTCCTGCAGTTCTCTACACAGCAGCAGTTTCATCCTACCCTGTTAGGTATAATGCCAGGAAAGCATTGCACCTACTCTGAAGATTCTGACTGTTTCATACTTCTTTAGTGGAAAACAAAGTAAAATCCATCTGACCACTTCTGTGATTCATTAATCTCAGTTGATCTCTCCGTTCTTCAGTTTTCCCTTGAAAAAGATGAAAACCCTTACATTTTTTCAGTCAGAGGTCTCTAAAACTAAACTCTTTTTGGGACCAGTGAATTCAACTTCCCTGTGCAAAAATGCTACACATAAAAATGCAGCCAGTTTTCATTATGAAAAAAAAATTCCTCTTTTGAAAAATATTTTAATCGACTCTACTTGTACCTTATACATATCTGGCGAAATTATTCATAGCTCCTATGTAAATAGTTTTTGAAATTCACACAGGTGTGGAATGCACAAGATCAAGTCTATATAGAAATGAAATAATTTCATTACTT